ACAGTAATGAATACACACGTGTGTGTTTTAAAGGAATCCATATCACGTGTCTCTAATAGAGCACAGATGTTAATGCTGGCAGCTCTTATTGTTCAACATGTTCTCCTATCATTGCTTGTTGTTTCTTACACTATTTCTGATCTGGTAAACAGCAGAGGGGAAGGACTTGTCTGTCATAGTCATTGGCCACCACAAACCTCCATGGGGGCACAGTACTAATCCACTGAGTGAGCCAAGCTGCATGCAGTTGATGATTACATCGACTCATGAGTAAGCGGATAATAGGGAGCACTGCTGCTTCTCCTCCATGTTTCACTGTACAGCCCTGACTTTGCCATGCCTGGCAAGGCCGGCATGCAACCAGTGCTGATCTTCAGCTCAGATTTTTAGTAAGACGGTTCCATAAACACAATGACATTATGTCATGACATCATTAGTTTCCTGTAAGTTTGAATCAGCTTGCTTTTACAGGAAATCATATATATTCACTGCTCCTCCAACTTAATTGACACCAGGGAAGTGCCACACACATTACTTTCAACATTTAGCACTCAAACGCATGAACAACGTTCCCATAATCCATTAGGTACCCACCCAGAACAGACTTTGTCTTCATACAAGTAAAGGCACCTAAATAAACAGAAGGGTGAGTTTTAGAGTATAAAAGCTTGGAAAATTCACTCTATTACTTCTGGGGAAAGCGTGAAGCAAAAATTACAGTACTTTGTGCTTTAGGGGCTTCTGGCCTGATTGAAAACACTACACACTATGGTAATACAATACTGGTGCCAAGAGACCAAAGTTTTAATGTCTCCATCTCCCCCGAATCCTTCCTAATATTATTGATGTTGTCATTGCACCCTGGACTGTTCATTTTAGCATTGACTGGAAAGGCTTTGCAGAGGAAGGAATAATGCTGGAAACTGAAAATGCATCGTATGAGATGAGATGGATAATGTGAACTAGTGCACAAAACTAAACATGGCAGAAGGAAATCAAAAAAGACATTCTGAATTGTTTATGGACTACAAGACAGTACACAAAATCACAGACCTAAGACAAGCATCTCTCCTGAGGGTCTCAATAAAGCAAAAGAGTGAAAAGCATTGTATTTATGGGACAGATCAGGTTTCATGTAAGGTTCCTCCCTTTCAGATCAGTTTAGATCCGACTCTGTTCTACTGCTCCACCAGCAATAAATACAGAAAATATTAATATATTTACAAGAACTATTGAAAGCCTCATTATTTGTTGGAAAGGAAGGGCAGAGGGTAAAGGGGAAAGTGTCATAGTTTACAGCCCTGTGTTTTCAAACAGAGGCTAATATATGCATACCGGCACTCACTTTTACACACCAGTGCCAAAATACTGATTAACTGCAAAGCGATCTTTGCAGTGACACTACATACAGAGCAGAGCTCTTAAAATCAGAGGCTAAAATGACAGACTTTGGGCCACCACTGTTGTAACTTGGAAATAACTTCATGACTCTCCCTCCAGTCCTACCAGAGATGGCTTTGTTGAGTTCCTACTTCAGGATTCAAACTCCTGCTTGACTATAAACAGGCATCTTCACACACCAAGTTCTAGACACATATGTAAGCCTTGCCATCTCAAGGCTTTTTTGTGACATCTGGGAATACATTTATAGGATTTTAATTCAAAGGGTTGAGTTATGCCTATGAACCAACACCCTGTGTCTGATCACTGAGCTAGCTGCAGTGCTACAGTGCCATCTCAAAACCCACAGACATCATCTATACCCCTGTCAACAGTTCATGCACATTTTAAAAGCATCAAAGTGTTTTTCCACATTTTCCAAGAAAAAAGAGCCCTTACAACATCTAAACAAACACATAGAAAGAGAGATATTTATTTCTTTGCATTATTTCAGTAAGAACATGCTTTTCTTATTAAAGTCTGGTGCTATCCTTTCATTATAAGCATCTTTCCCAGGAAATCTATGACTAAGTATGTGTAAATATTCATCTCGGGGGTCTGCCCTTGTGGCAGCTGTGGCCACCCCCAGAACTTCTCACCATGTATGTGTGTGAATTGCCTAATAGTCACGTGTATACTACATTCTCCCTTCCTTTGGTTTCCCTATCCATCTGGGTGCTTGCCAAGTGTGCTGACTGGCCACCTTATTAGCAACAAAAATGGGACTCAAGTCCCAAGAAGACTCTGGTGGAAGCTGAAAGTATCCCCATGGACTGCAGTGGGGTTCAGCCTGCTTCCACCTCTTCTGCAAGGGCTTCCTAGCTCCATTATCAGGTGGTTGTGGACTCTGGTTGCTTTAGTCCTGTGGACTATTGAAATCTTTTGATTCCATTTAAATTCAGCAGAGACTAAGAACCCTTCATAGTCACTAGATAAACCCATTAAAAGTGCAGCAGTGTATGTGCCGCCTTCTCTCATTGATTCTTCTGTAAGACAGGTTCACATATGGAAATTTGGTTGTGCCTGAGTGGCAGAAGCAAATTCCTGGCAAACCATGTGCCAGCATTTTCCTAGAGCTGCAGCTTTCCCAGTGAGGCTGCCACGCATTCAGAGTCTGGCTCTGTGTTTCAGCCCCAACCCCACACACTGTGGCCAGGCCAAGCGGCTTGTGACTCCAGCACACTCTGGCACCAGCTGGTCACCCCTACATGAAATGATGCCAAGCCGTACCAAGAAAGCTGAGCTCATGTTTCCAAGAAGTAAAGAAAAAGGGAGAGGTTTGAGCAGAGCATTGTCATTGCTGGTGGTTTTTTTTCCAGGCTAGCAGTAAACTTTGGCTGTTTATTAGATCCCAAACATTCTTTGCATGTGCACAGGAAAACAGATGCTTCCCACTCCTGGGCCCCATGCTTGAGCTAGGCTCCCTCAGCAAAACCCACAGGTAGGGTATACAAACAGGGCAGCAGAGACATTGCTTCCTGCCTCCAGCTGCTTTGAGCTGGTGATATAACATTATCTATCCCACACACTTCTTTGGCCTCCTTGCCAGGGTATCGGGCCGGCTCACAGCAGGCAGCTTGGTTTTCCTGTGCAGTAGGAACAGCTGCTGCCTCCGGTCACAAACAGGGAACAGAGGCCAGGGCTTGCAAGCGCTTTGGCTCAAACAGTGTGCATGGGGCATGGATAACAGAGCTGGGAAGGGAGCCAGGTCCCCCAGAGCCTCAGCAGGTGGGTGCCCTAACTGCTAGGTTACCTTTCATCTTCCAGCATTAAAAGCCTGACATGGTCCATCCATAGCCCTATCTTCAGCAAGCCTCAGGTGCAGTCCTCCATTTGATTCATTTATGCCAGCAGCAAATTAAGTTTCAGGCTCTTACAATAAATTGGAGAGGCAAAGAGGAAATAGAGCACTAACTCATGTGCACGGACATATGCTTAACTATGGGGCTTCAGGATGGCCACCTATCACAGCCACTTACCTCTTCTTCTGAAACAGCAGGTGCTGGTCCCTGCCTGTGCCAGGACTGTGATTTATTGCAGCTGTGTGCCCTTCTGTGGTCCGAAGAGGACCCTTCAGCTTTTTGTCTGGAAGAAGGTCCTCACAAGATATACAGGTTGTTTGAGAACATGATGCACTCACTGTTCCCCTCTCCTGTGACATTTCTTTACATATGCAGCTGGATAGCAAAACATATCAGTGTTCATTACTAATTTTGTTATTTATAGTGAGCTGCTACAGATGGAGACTGCAGCACCATTCTATCTTTAGGGTGTAGTGCCTGGCTGTCCCTACAGACAATTGGTAATTAGCACAAGAACTATTTGTTTATCTGTTCTCAGACTTAAATAAACAGGAGAGCCATTTCTCTGTCAAAATTCAACTCCCTCCCATTGCCAGATCCCCAGGTTAACTGCTTAATGAATAGAGCTCATCACTTCAGGCATTTAGGTAAAAACAAAAGTGTATTTTAAAAGAATTCCCATTAAAGAAAATGAAATATGCAATAAAAAATAACAGGTTATGTACTGAAGAGATAGCATTTAGATCACAACAATCAGGAGTACAGGACAAGATGAAGATCACAGGGATGTCAAGCAGAGGCATAGAACTGGACCAACTAGTATGCAGGGGAGGTGTGGCGTATATATCCTGGGAAGTGTGGCATATATATCCTGGTTACTCCTGGCATCTGCACTTCCTGTCAGTCCAGCCACCCAGCTCTCAGCCAATCGTTCCAAGTGAATCCTTGAATGAGCATGAAACTGGGGAATAGAAGGTAGAGAGGATACTTTCAGTTGTCCAAGTAAAATCCCACATATGCACTAAGTTGCACTTGCATGGCTCAGATGGCAGGACCCTGCCCAATACAAACACCATACAAGCCAGGGAGAAGACATGACATAATTTTTTCTATTTTTATTGCTGATCCCAGCCCTTCTTTGTTCTCTTGTGTTCCCTATACCCACCTCTGAAGTTAGAGAAGAGAGGAAGAGGCTCTTTGAATAGATGGACTTTGTGAGCTGTACCCAAGGGTTGGCCCCTGTTCCCTCTCTTCTTGCCCCCACCACTGATGATGGGAGGGGAATGGGAGCTGCTGAGGGACTGGTCACACTCACTTTAAAGGCCAAAGCAGTCTGTGTGAAAAAAAACAAACTCTTGTCTTTCTCACAATTCAGATGTTTTCAGCATCTGAAAGTGTTCACTTACTCAAGCTTGCAGGTGCAGAATTTTTTGCATGTATATGACTGTACACACATCCATACATACAGGGTAGGAAAAGCAATGGGAAAAAATAAGAATGTTTTAGAGGTTACTGCTATCAGGCAGTAAATGGGGGTCAGATCTGAGGAATTCTGCCTGGCCTCCAATTCTGATCATATGCATCCTAGTGAATAGCTACTTGCTTATTGTCCTACCACCTGGACAATCTTTATTTGACCTTTTTATCCTCACATCAGCAGCCAGGAAGGGGATAAAAGCTGCTAAATAAAAGTAAACTATTTCAAATACAATGTCTGGAAAGAAATACTAGTAAGGAGCTCATTCTTTTGTCTTTCAGCTCACAACTCCAAATTTCCCTGTAGTGGTCAAGCTGGGACATGCCCATGCTGGAATGGGGAAGGTAAGTAAAAGAAAAAATACACATAGATCAGGAAACAGATATATATGTGGCACAGCATTCCTGTGATTATACATGGCATGTGGCCAGCCAGCAAAGGGGTTAAACCTCCCCACAACCTATCTGGGTTGCACTGGCTATTCCTGTGGGAGTAAAGGCCTTTTTCCACCGTCACACACTGGGACACACGCAGTGGTATTGAGTTGGAGACTGTCTGGGATGCGGGAAGGGGGGTTGTGAAGAGTGGGGGAAAAGCTGGCTGGGCTGAAGTCATTAGGCTAGTCTTTTATATATTTTCTTGTCTCCTGAAAGTGGTAATGTTGTTTATTCAAGCACCTGTAATGTGCAGCTACACTACATATTTCTCACAATGAGGAGCAGCAGCACTGGTCCTTGTGAGTGCATTATGATGACCTTATTCAATAAAATGGGAGCCCTTCAGTCATTTTTTTCCTCCTTGCAAGGAAGAACAAGACCTTACAAAGCCGAGTGGCTGGTTGCCTGCCAAGGAATCCTGAAAAACAGTTCACTCCCCAGAAGGACCTGTTTGTTTTTCCCAGGCTCTCTGGGATCTTTATTCCCCCAGGGAACTAGCAGCCCCTATTTCTTGGGGTGACTGGGCTCCTCTTTCAC